GCTAGCGTCAACAACTGTTGGTGTTCATCCAAGACATCTTCTGTAGCCACCAAGATAAGACTCACATAGGCAAGCTTCGCCGCCAATGCCAATATTAGATTCGCGCTTCGCGTGCTCATGCCCTGACCGCATTGGTACGCAAGTTTGCTTATCACGCTCACTCACACCCGCTAGATCCGACATGAGAGTATCCGAAGTTGTCCTCCTTCATTCAACTTCAATGTTGGGGTGTGCCCTCTTGCGTTGAGTTGGCCCTGTGTCAGGTGCTTGTCGTGCCGTAATTCGTTCGGAACCAATTCCCTCTATAACGTGTGTGTTCTGCAATTTGATTGCGTCTGAGGTCGAGTGTCTCCGCCGATTGAGCCTGCTCCTACCTTGATGCTCCTGTGGCACAAGTGCAGGTTCCTCACCGAGGTCATGGTGAGCAGGAGTTCGGTTGGCTGCGCCTTGACGACCTACCTTGGCGTGGAGGGCCTCAAGAGAACGTTCGAACGCATCAACCCTTCCCATAACGTGTCGGTCGCGGAGTGGTTCAAAACAATGCTCCTCGCTCAGATTGCAACGCAGATCGCTGATCTTGACAAGGCAACAACAACAGACTTTGATAGCAAGGCGAACCTTCTCTTCACGGATTTGTCCAGGGTCATTGATTTCCTTCACCCTGAGTACATTACCCTGGTCGGCGATACCATTGATTGCGTGCGGCACATCAACACCATCGTCCTGGTCACCGTCAATCCTTCCCAAGTGTCGTCCAAGAGGGTTGGCGAGTCGGTCAGCTTCGTCGAGACTAACAAAGCGATGACTGGGATCAAGCAGGTGATGCATTTCGGCGACACCGCTGTCGCACTCTACGCTTCCGCTCAGAACTTGCTTGCCCTGACCGCCAAAGACTCGCTGGGCGACAAGAAGATGCTCCGCGCTGTTGAAATTATCGAGGACACGTCCATGATGCCGACCTTCGTGCAGAAACTTGCGGAGAGCGAGGCCGAGGGCACTGAGTGGCATGCCCAGGGCTTCGACGATATCGCATCGATGATGGTGTTCGCTAATATCGATGAGTCCGTAGACCACTTGTGCGAGGCTGTGAAGCTGTGGGACAGGAGGCGCACTGAGGAGCAGATTGCTACAGTGGGTAACTTCTTCAATCTGACATTCGACGTGCTCGCGCGCATCGACTGCATGATGGTATGCTGCCTGGCGGGCGGTTGCTTTGCGACTGGGATCGGCGAGCTGCTCAAGGCAGATTTTAGCGCCGACGGGACCGCCATCAACGTTGCAGGTTACTCTGGTTTGGCCCAATCTATCCAGCACGCCGTCGTGTCGAGTGAAAATTCGTTGACGTCTTCTCTTTCGCGTATCTGTCGGCTGATCGACCAGTTGCCTCAAGTATTGAAGGACTCCATGGAGCCGAGCCCCACGGTGTTGTTGGACAACTTGAAGGTCTTTGACACGAATGTCTGCGTCCGCGATTCCATTGTGAAGATCATCGAGGCATTGGGTTCGTTAACATCCGTGGACACTAGCTCCCAAGCCCTGCAGAGCTGGGTAAAGTCTCAGTCGGCTGGTTCGGATACTTCGCCCTCTCTTCAAGTATACATCAACGTTGTGACACTGGCTGACAAGGTCGATGCGCTCAAGTTCCAGTCGCCTGAATGTCTCTCTGGCGAGCGCGACCCGATCGTGGTCTCCTCCATCGGCAGCGGTGCGACCTCAACTTCAGCATCGGTCGTCCAAGCCTACGGCCTCGCCGACGTCGTTACGCAGCTCCCGCTCATTAGGGCTCTGCGGGGAGTTCTCGACGGCGCATTCGAGGAATCGTTGACTAAGTTTTCAGGCGCAGTTGGGTTCGACGGGCTCCTGATTCCGAAGGCCATGTCGGAAATGCCAGCTCAGTGGGTGCCAGCCGTCGATTGTTTCTGCACGTCGGAGTTTGCGAAGACGGCCAATGACAATGTGTGCAAGGCCCTTGGCTCCGCAAGCCAGGCTTGGGCATGTGACCAGGTCTGCTCCGCCGTGGGCTCGCTCGTGACGGTGCTCAATCGTGGATCTGTTCAGCTGGACTTGCCCATCGTCGGGTCTGCTGGCTTGAAGGTCAGTTGGTTTGAAAGCGTAACTCTAGAAAACTATGATGTATTATTCCTTCGTTACCTTAAGCCTTCTTGGTTTTCATCTACGCCAGGCTCTTTCTCATTGCCAGTCCCTTTACAACCACCCCCCACTCCATCCCCAGCTTATCATTCGCTTGTCGCATTTCCGTGCCGAAGGTTTGCTGCGCCGTTCCCGACGACGCGTTCCAGATCTTGATCAAGCTCTGGTGTGACATGCACAAGGTTGCATCGTTGATTGCTTTTCTCAGCGTGCGGTTCTTGGGCGACTGCTCCACCAGCGGCGCCACGGAGAGCGTTATGAAGAATACCGAGCTGAAGCCCGAGATCACCAAGGCCGTGGACCTCTGCAGGGATCACATCGCTATCGGGACGGAGGCATTGGAGAAGTTACAGGATTCCCATGCTAGTTCATTGGCTGACCTGTCCCCCACGTGCGCTCAGATGATCGACTTCTTACTTGCCGCCGAGAAGACCATCGGCTTTCAATCCAAGGCTATATTCGGCAAGATGCTCCAAGTCTGCGTGGACGAGAGCCTGGAGCTTCAGAAGGTGACGCCAATTTACGGCAATCTGATTTCAGATGACACGTTCAATCGGTCCATGGCCAAGTCTCACGTTCACAACCATGCTAACAAAGACGTCTTGAACGAGAAGACCGTGAGGATGTACCACTGCCTGTCTTCCCTCGGCAGCGTGTTCAACGCGTGGGCTGTCGAGGACAGCTCTGACGGCAGCGAGATCAAAGAGAAGATTGACATGGTGAACACCACGTACGTGTCGGCCAGGAGGGCCGTGACGGTGATCGCAAGCCTCACAGTTGTTTTCACGCTTCGCGGCCAGGCCAAGTCAGACGAGGCCGACTACTTGTTAAAGAACAAGGCTTCGGACATCCCTCGTGCGCTCCTCAGGGAGCTCGAGAAGCTCGTGGCCGCTGGCAGGTAGACTCGGTGCTCTTCAGTGCCGTGCTCCTCTCTCTCCCCCTCTTCGCACTTACACTCATCAGACCCTCATTTCCCGCCTCCGTCTACCTAGCCTTCTTTCCCATGCGTCGCTGCTGCGCGGCGGTTTTCAGCAGGGCTGCCCGTGGACGTAGGGTGAGGGTAACGAGGATCATGCAGGAACACATGAGATGACGAGGAGTCGGGTGGTTCATGGGGGCCTCTAGTTTGATATGCTGATGCGGAGCCAGCGCTGAGTTCTCCGTCTCGCCTCTTCAGCTCTCCCCACCTTGCTGCTCCTCCATGTGTGTGTCATCATTGTCATATGTGGTGTCGTCTATGATGCTCGCTGCTGCGTCGATGGCTTCGCAGTCATGCCCATCGCCCCTATCGTCGTTGTCGCCCTTGTTCCTATGCCCTCAATCTCAGCATCCCGTGCCAGTCAGATAGCAAGGAGTCTGGCGTCAGACTCCGACAGTTCGCTTGCGCACAGCCAGTGCGCAGACCCGCCCATCTAGATCGAAGATGCCATCAGAAATAATCAAAGGCTTGGGTAAGGTACCAGCTTCGAAATGCAGAGTTTCATGCGGACAGTGCGTGGAACGCACGGGTCGTGACGAGAGGCAGCGGCTGGGGCTGCCCTTTGTGCGTTCGAGTGGGTGCAAGTTCTCTGTAGGGGTCGCTGCTATTTATCATTTTTGCGTTTTCGTGTGATGTGGCTGGGCGTCAGAGTCTCTAGTTCTTCTGGCGGCTGGCCTCGCCGTGGCATGCCTGTCGGAAGCACGTTTCAGAAATCTTGATGTTGGGTGCGCTAGTGAAAGAATATTCGGGCCTCCCTGACGGTTCTGATTCCCCATTCCTCCTCCGCAATTTCGCCCTTCGACCCTCCCCCCCAATTTCCTTTTCATGGTTCCCCCTCGCTGGTCGCCGAGCCACCTCCTCCTCCACCGTCTTGCCTCCTCTTTGCCGTCCCTCCAGCTGCCGCTCTTCCAGCGCTGATCGTCAAGGTGGTCGTGCTCCCTCGGCCGTGCCCGCAACCTGCCAGATTGAGCCAGACGCCTCCTAGTAGGTCGGCTTACGAGTGCCATATGTTCAGAGACACCCGATGTTTCTCCAGTGTGAAGCGTTCTGTGCGCTGTGCCGTCGGGAGGGGGGTTATGACTTGTTCTCCGTGCTTCATGTTTTATTCATTGGCTTCCGCCGTATCAGTCGTACATTTAGTTTACGTGTGTGGATTCGGTTATTGGCTGATGCTCCACGTCATGTAGCTGTCCTACGTATTGTTACAATATCTGAAATCAAGAGAAACATGAACAAATGCAGTTGTCAGGGCCGAAATAAGCAGAAACGCATAAGTGTAGATTGCGCGCTGGTCGTTTGAAGCATTTTCGGGGGGGGCTATAGATTGAGGGGGGCCCCACACTTCAATTTGAATATGTGCTGGGCATGTTTAATTTTTCTTCCAGAATCCGCCTGTAGGAGGACGCGCCCGACCTAAGCCTTGCCCTGACTCGCCAGACGCGGGTCGATTCGAAGATCTCGATTTGCCCAGTCCCGAGCGCATTTTTGGGCGCACTGCCAGGCAAACGCTCGCGCGCCGCGGGAACCCGATTCTCAGCGCAGAACTGGGGGTCGCTGCGCGGCGAAGTTTGACGCTCGATTCGCTCCGCACTTTATACATCGCAGTTTCGCACTCGATGTGCAGGCTGATAGTTTTAAGTCGGGCGTGTCCCTCTCAGGAAGAATGTTCAAACATAGCTTTGAAAAAATAGTGTGGGGATGATGTTTTGCATTTTCTTGCATCTGCGTATATACAAACATATATATATATATATATATATATATAAAGAAAACCCATCAAATCCCGTCGTACGGGGGGCACGCCAGACCTAACATTCGATGTGCAGGTTGGTAGTTTGGAGACTCATCCTCAGCGGCGCGCGGCGCTGCCATGGCGCCCAGGATGCAGGTGTTGAGATTGCGCTGCTGTCGTTTCGCAGCGTTCGGATGTGTCGGTATAGGAAGCATTCTAGAGAGACCCCAACGAGAGCCTGATTCGGATGTCGGACAGCGCTACGACAATGGCGAGTGATCCAACGGACCGGCGGTTTAAAAACAAAGGGGTTGACACACGGGTTGTGTTTTTTCCTCGTAGACGAGTTGCCGCGCCATACTTTGAAGCTCGGCCCCGAAGAGACGCAATGGCAGCTTCGAAGGCCACGGCCGCTATTATGTTCAATGCTACCAGCGCTCGAACGTCAGATGGTGCCCAGGACGCGCGTTGGAATCACTGCTCGCGTTTTCTTGCGTCGACCCAAGGATGCGCAGAGTTGGTGCTGCCTCAGCGGCATCTAGCAGTACGCATGCTTCGCAGGATGCCATTCATCGGGGCCCCGCGTTTCTACGCTTCGTGGAGTGGCGCAGCCCCCGACAGAACTTCCGAGGGTTGCTGCCGCCACTTGCCAGAATCCACCTTTGAGATCAGTGCGTTGTCGAACGCGGAAAGACTCAACATCCATTCTCCTGGTTGGAGGCGGGCACGCGAGTCGCACCATGCTCCTTGCTTGACATGTTCCCCATACTTTCAGGATCGCGATGAAACATTGAGTTGCATGCTCCGTCGGAAGGGGCCCTCAATCATGTGCAACGCTTTCCGGCGCCTCCCGTTGAACCCGAATGTGTAATGGAAGTGAATAATAAAGTGTTTTGTGCCGTTGCGTCGGCATGGTTCGCAGGGACGGGGCGGTTTTCCCATGTGGTTTACATGCCGCCAGACATCGTTTGTTCTCAAGTGTGTCTCAGTTGCGCGCGTGTGCTGATCGCCCGCAGAGAACTTTACATCGAGCGAGGCCGCGTTACCCAGAAATTGTTGTTGGGGAGTGAGAGATCGCGGGTCGGAGGATGAGAGAGCAAGGTGGGTAAGGAGAAGGAGGACGAGAAAGAGGCGATCTGCTTCCATGTATCGAAGATACGAAAACTTCACATTCTTATGTTTACGGCACACCGCCGACCCCTTGGGTGACTGGCGGTTGTTGCGCGTTGCTCCTGAGGGCATTTTGGGCGTCTTTGGAAGGTTTTTTGGAGCTCTTTTGGGACTCATGGGGGCCTCTCAGTGCTTTTTGGGGGGCCTCTTGGGTTGACATTCTCAGTATTCACCTTGCACGCATTGGGGAAACGGACGAGAACCCACGTATACAGACGTCGGGCATCCGTCAAAGCACCCGAAGAATGGTTCTCGATAGACTTTGGCACATCCCGATGGGGTATCGTGGGAGGTGTCTCTGTAGCGTCTTGGAGTCAGTGTTTGAACCTTTTGGGGGCCTCCTGGGGGCCTCTTGGGAATTTGTTGCGGCTCTCTTGGGGCTTTCCGGGGGCTTGTTCGGGGTTGTTGGGGGCTCCTTCAGGCAATTTGCAGGCGTCTGAGGGTCGAAGGCTCGACATGTCCGTTCGGGTTTCCCCTCTGGGCCCCCTCTTGGGGCTGTCTTCGGGCCCTCCTGGGCCCTGTTGGGGGCTTCTTGGGTGGGACCCTCTTGGATCGTCTTGGAGCCCTCTTGGGGGCATCTTGGCCCGTCTTGAGGCGATTTTGAAGGCCTCTTGGGCTGTCTTGGACGTTGTGAACGCCAAAGAGGCGAACGTGTTAAAGTTGCACGTTTTCGCAAGGGGCTGTGCTGGAAGCCCTCTTGGGATGCCTCTTGGGGGCTTCTTTGGGCGTTTTTAGGGCCTCTTGGGCCGTCTGGTAGCCAGCGTGGGTGGGAGAGATCTTTCAGCGACTCGTGGCCCTCTTGGACCCTCTAGGGAGCCTCGTGGGGCCTCCCCCCATGGCGCGTTCGGCCAGGCCGCGGGGGACCCCCCACCCTTCCAAATCGACCCGACTAGGCTCCCAGGGGAGGGGCTTGGGAGGGGTAAGCATCTCCCACGCCGATTAACCCCAAGGGGTCGGCGGGTTCTCTTGCTT